GCCAGCCTGCCTCGGGGGAGACACAACAGGGGAACACAAGGGGGAGACACAAAGGGGGAGACACAAAGGGGAACAAAACTGAAAATCCGAAAACGAAAAAATTACTTTACTTCGTGTGATCCCCACCATGACATTTATACATTTTCTTACTGGCAAATCTTCTGGCATTCTATCTGACATATCTTCTGACATTCTATTTTGCATTCTATCTGGCATATCTTCTGGCATATGATCTGGCATATCTTCTGGCATATCTTCTGGCATTCTATCTGGCAAATCTTCTGGCATTCTATCTGGCATATCTTCTGGCACTCTATCTGACATATCTTCTGGCATTCAATCTGGCATTCTATCTGGCATATCTTCTGGCATATCTTCTGGCATTCTATCTGACATATCTTCTGGATATCTTCTGGCATATCTTCTGGCATATCTATCTGGCATATCTTCTGGCATATTTTCTGGCATTCTATCTGGCAAATCTTCTGGCACTCTATCTGGCATTCTATCTGGCATATCTTCTGGCATATGTTCTGGCATATCTTCTGACATTCTTTATGGAATTCTTTCTAACTTTCTTCTGCAAATTCTTTGTCCATATCTCCTACTGAGGTCCGGCAGGGAACACTGGGCGGGGATACTCGCGGTTGAGGTCCGGCAGGGAACACTGGGCGTGGATGGTCGTGGTGAGGTCCGGCAGGGAACACTGGCGGGGATGGTCGTGGTTGAGGTCCGGCAGGGAACACTGGGCGTGGATGGTCGTGGTTGAGGTCCGGCAGGGAACACTGGGCGTGGATGGTCGTGGTTGAGGTCCGGCAGAGAACACTGTGGATCGCGGGTCGCAGTTGAGCAAGGACGACGAGGACGACGAGGACGACGAGGACGACGAGGAGGACGAGGAGGAGGAGGAGAGGAGGACGAGGCAGGAGGAGGCGGAGGAGGAGAAGGAGGAGGAGGCAACTGACATAAAATCTAACAACCCTCACCTGGCAGGTGGGGAAATAGAAAAGTCACATCTATAAATTTTAAATGTATTTAATAGCTTTAAAACAATGTACATATATAAATCGAATTTATAAAATGAAAATTTCATTTTTTCGATTTTTTTTTGAAAAAAAACTCTTAAATTTTCATTCCAATACCTTTGAAATGATCCACTGAATGTTTTAGAACTGACTGGGATGAACTTTTTTTCTATGTATCCTTTTCCCCCACTGGAGATCAGGTACCCGAGATCCGAATTTCCGAGGGCCAGCCTCTCCGCCTTTCCACCAACGCGCGCGCGCGCGTTGGCGGAACCCCGACTCGTAGCGCCAGCCGGCCGACTCGTTGCATTCGGATGGGAGCCGAGACACAACGGGGGTGTTACAACAGGGAGACACAACGGGAGAAGAGCAATGGGGAAAATGATGCAAAATGAGAAATGTCACTTTTATAGTTTGTAAACTAGAAAAAATTGCTTTTGTAAGATATTGAAATGTCAAAATTGCACATATTTGCTGAATACTTGATTTTGTTTAAAAAATGATTTCTTTCAATAAATTGTATCCACAATCAGTTCTAAAACATTCAGTGGATCATTTTCAAGGTATTAGAATGAAAAATTATTTTTTTTTTAAATGCATTTTTTTTTGCCAAAATATGTTCAAAAAACTAATTTCTATCCATCAATTATGTCCACAATCAGTTCTAAAACATTCAGTGGATCATTCTCAAGGTATTGGAATGATTTTTTTTTTAAATGCATTTTTTTGCCAAAATATGTTCCAAAAACTAATTTCTATCCATCAATTATGTCCACAATCAGTTCTAAAACATTCAGTGGTTCATTTTCAAGGTGTTGGAATGAAAATTTATTTGTTTTTAAAAAAATGCATTTGTTTCATTCTTTAAAATTGAGATATGTGCCTCAATGTGTAACATCTTACAATTTCGAAATGGAAAAAAATATTTTAAATTAGCTGGGGGAAAAGGATACATAGAAAAAAGTTCATCCCATGTCACCTGCAGGTACTATATATACAAGTAGCGTATGCTAAAATTACTATATATATAATAGATTATATATATGACTTATATAACCTCTTTTCAAAACACAGCATTTGGCATAATAAAGCTCATGATCAATGTAAACCAGGGATCCCTGGAGGACATCTCATCGCTCAACACTTCGCATATTCGCTGCTCTATGTTTCCTGTTGTTACATTCTCCGACATCATGACCTTCGGCTTGGATTTGCGCTTAAGCCAACACACATGCTTCATAGTAACCTGGACCGGGCCATCAAGAACCAACTCTGCCTCATGACATGGGGTTTTATTGTACCTTTTGTCCTATATACATATACAAAAATAAAGCCATATATTCATATATATATATTATGTAAACAAGAATTCATTATAGAATCGAACACATTTTAAAACAGGCCATGCGTATAAAATGACCAGAACATACCAGAACATGCAGTCAGGAAACTCTTCTGGCCTCTCCTTTGTCAAGTTTCTGTGGGCCCATCAAACTGTCATCAACACAAGGAGCCCCAAAAAGGCTTAGGTCTTGGGATTCAGGGAATTGGCAGCGCTGAACGGCTACAATGACAAACAAAAGTCTCATGTCACCTAGTGCACACAACATACCCGCATTCCAAAATGAACCCTCTTAAGGTCCACTAAAAACACTAGTTTCCGGCAGATGACATGGAACCTAGATTTACACCAGGGTATGTTCCCACAAACCCAAGTCATTTGCCGGTTGTATATATATGTATAGTGTATAGCATTCCCTCATGTCCAGATCTATATGGCACCCCCACAAATTCCAAAGTTTTTTGGTGTGTAGGATTTCTCAAACATATTGTGTGCTATGTTTGATTCACATCCAAAACATAACTCATCATTATTACGAACCTAGTACCACTGATCTTGGGAGGGTGTACCATATATATATTGTATATATATAAATATATTGTATATATAAATATATTGTATATATATATATACTGTATATATATGTATATATTGAATATATATATATATATTGAATATATATATATATATTTAATATATATATATATATATAAATATATCAATATACATATAGTATGTAATATATATGTATATATATATTATATTATAGTATATATTATAGTATATATGTATACATACAGAGGTTTCTAGAAATGGGGGGGTACCCCAATGGATGGTTTATGATGGTACATCCTATTAAAACGGATGATTTTGGGGTATCCCCATTTTTGGAAACCTCCATATGCATACATATGCATATGTATATATATATGTTGTTAAAGGAATATCGGTGGTTGATTCTAGATGACATGTGCATTTTTTGCTTTATTGTTAAATACCCATCAACCACTATAATCTACACCCTCCAAATACCCCAAAAGAAAGCTAAAAGTATGTAAAAACAGCAAACCTCCGCGGTAAAACATGGTAAAACATCGAAATGAAAGCTAATTAAATGGAGGCTCCAGGTATGTCTAGAAAGGTATCCAAAAAAAACTATTGAAAAACAGAGCGCTAACATGGAAATCATCAACTCCCCAAGCCCACCTATCCTCAGTTTCGCGAGTCCACTACCCAAGATGTACAGTACACAGAGGCCGTATGCTGCGGTTTCACCAAACTCGCTGCTGATGAGCATGGCCCATGAGATGTATATCCTTGGGCTGGGCCAAGGGAGCGTTGATTCATAGTGGGGCCCCCAGACACGATAGCTACGTTTGGTGAACATAACTCCAATTTATGGTTAACCGATACTTATAAGTAGAGTTTACATGGGGTGTAAAAACAAACTTCTGACTGGGGGGTCCCACACTGCAGGATTTCCCGGTAAAATATTGTTTGATCAATCCTAATGTAAAAAAAAACATTAAGAATAGTGAAGCCCCATACAATCATCAACAGGCTTTTAGCAGCCACTGATGCATCCCAGGAATCGTAAGGTGGGTAATGACTCCTGATTATACCAAGCTCATGTATCTAATGTAAAATATACATAGACTAGAGATGATTCAAAAAACAGACCCTCCAAGTACATCAAGTACACTGTTAACCCCCCCAAAAAAATACCACATTTTTTACCATGTCTTGGGCTATGCGGAAGGTCCTCTATATGTATTGACCTTCATGCGTGTTCGATGTGGCTTACTTAAAACCCACTTCCGCTTCATCCTGGGCCCCAGATCCTGCGAGCAGCATGAGGTAATCTCGATGGCTTGTCGTCCGACAACTGTCGCCCAGTTGGAAGAGAGTAACGGCAATAGAGCAGCCACCCCGCACCTTGGAAAACATTTTTAAAGCAAAGCATATATAGAAAGCCCCGCAAAGAGTTCGATAGATGTAAATAATCATTGTGGGATTCTACTTTCTGTCTGCGAGATGTTTAGAATGTTTAATTGGATTGACTGGGATGTTGAGGAAACATGAATGGGGAATCTACTGAAAAAATGGGAACAGGCTGAGAAAAAAACATCATATGATGATGAAAGTGGTGTTCTCAAAATTAAATGATCTAAGACAAGCAAGGATAAAACTGTGGCAACAGGCCTTGAAGGTAGAGCCAAAGCACAATTCACACCATACTTCCAGATATATATATATATATTTATTTATTTATTTTATTTTATTGGAATTTTTCCTGGATATAAACCATGATTCAGCTCATTTCAGCTCTCTAGGCTCTAAGTGCCCAGCCCATAGGTTGTATCCAGAATTGGCTTCCACCCAGGCAGCTAGGAAGAACCAAGGGATGGTCGAGTAAGCAGCAACTCGATACCTCGACCAACTGGGCTGTACATGCTCCAAATCTTTCCGCAGAATAAAAACTCATGGGAAAGGATTGTTTTTTTTTCGGATTCGTATCTGCCCACAACCACTGAATTCCCAAACTTCGAGGTCGTCACTGGACCTAGCATCGCCGCAGGAATGCCGGCAAGATGTCCCGTACTGAATGTCTAAGGCACTCAAGCGTTTATGTATCAGACCTCAAGATAGAAGTCACGTTCCCACGCCCAGGTGACACCCTTGTGCCACCAGTTCTCCAGAGTCAGCGGGTCCGTGTAACCTCGAGGCCAGTGAGATTCAGGCCCTTCAAACAAACTCGACAAACATCGTGTGTATTGAGTTGAGGTCTGCGCGGATCCAGCCGTCCTCCGGCAGCATTCGGAGGTCCGCTTCGTAGGCCTGTCGAGGCAGTACGGCATAACTGCCATGCGCCCATCGGACGTATCGGCTTCTTGGTTTTTTTTTCCCCTCCCTTTCCTCGCCTGGCAAACCGCCTCGGAGGCATAGACCCATCCATTTGGATGGGGCCGCACCTGCATCACAACAATGTGGTCACACAGGGGCAGCCGTGCCTCCTCGTCCGATGGAACGTCTCCTTCATCATCGGACAGGATTGGTGAGCCAGGTACCTCATGCAACGCGATTGCTTGCAGGAGCTCACAACTTCAGAAGCTAGTCCACTAAGACAACCCGCCTCCGTGGATCCGCAGGTAGAGAACTCCGACTCCGTCTCTGTGTCCGACCTCCGGCCGCGCGGCAATCGCATTTGACTGCTTTGTTTCACAGATTGAATAGACGTCTTGAAAGAGCTGCGACTGAAGTTCCTGAAGTTTGACTTCATGACCTGAGATTGCCACGGCTCCGGCTCCGCAAAGGTGATGGTGTAGTTGTTGCGCTCCGCGCAGCGGAGGCCTGAGTCTTCAGCCGGCCGGTCCTGTTGGTGTCTAAGCGGCGTATGACTGAGGCTCCGACACAAGTACACCACGTTGTCCCCGCGGTAGCCCGGATCCTCCCCGACGTACGGGACATCTTGCCGGCATTCCTGCGGCGATGCTAGGTGCAGTGACGGCCTACTTAGCTCGCAGCAGCGCGGTCGGCGGCCTACTTAGCTCAGCAATCCACTGACAAAGAATAACACGCCTGATGGCCTGCTCCTCATCTGTCAAACCCCTTTTGGGAACCCTGCGCATCTTCTGAAGATTTGAAACCTGAGGAAACCACACTGAATCAAGAAAAATATCCGCCGCATATCCATCTGTTACGGTTTTGTTGTTTTATCATGTTCTCTTCATACTCCCACGAAGAACAACAAACAGTAGTAGCTGCCGGGTCCTTAGAAGATACTTGTGAAAGGGCCCCAACCACACTTCAACTACTATGCATCAAGTATTATCAAGTCATAGTTTCACCCAAATTGAATCCCTTCCCCCGTTCATAGACACCCCCTTAGAAGCCATGGTGGATGTAGGGAATGAAACCACATGGTTGGAATCATAGAATTTTTGGTGTTTAATATGAATGGGGGATGCTTGGTGGATCATCCCACTTAGTAAGTAGCTTATATCCCTGGTGATGTTCGTGGGATAAGTCGGGTTGATCCACTTGTAATTGGAGTCATAACATGTTATAACCTACTTACTACATGGGATGATCCACCAAGTGGGATTAACCTTTGCTTAAGCCTCTTGAAAGACTCCACCGCCTGGAACACAGTCGGGACGAGGTGGCACTTCTTTGGAGACCAAAAGGAGAAAGGTCCGCCGGGGCATCCACCTCAAGCGACGTCGTCGTAGTCCCTTTTTCTCATGGATTAATGGATTGCTGGGAAAGTTTTCACCAGAAACCATTGTTATTTGTTTTTGTGTACCATCATGTATATATATATATATATATACAGTGAAACCAGCATCCTGGCACCAAGCGCAAGAAAACTCTTTGCAGAAGGCAAAACGCATATACCATTGGCCCAAAATTGGGGCCACAAATTTGGAAGCTGGGCTACCAATTTGAGTATTGTGGCCCCATTTTGGGGTCCAGAATCTGGCCTCTGTTTTGGGGCCACAAAACACAAACAGGAGCTATTCAATACGGGCAGAAAGTGTGCTACTGCCGCCGCAAGCTGACAGCAGCACATATCCGTGATACTGTATATATATAATTACTGTATATATATATAATTATATATATAATTATATATATAATTATATATATATTGTGTATATATATATAATGTATATGTATATATATATATATAATGTATGTGTGTATATATATATATATATGAGTTCCCTATCATTCCTGCATCTTTTTGTGCTGAAAACAAGTTTGGAGAATGGAAACCTTTGGGAAGCATTGGTTGTGATAGGTTTTACTGACTTCATGGGATGATCCGGGATGATGATAAATGAAACTACAGCTTGCCATGGAAGCAATGGCCATTGAAATCATATGAAAGAAGAGGTAAATCATGGTAAATCATTTACAAACAATCATCTACAAACCGGTAGTTTTCCATGGCTCTAACTGTGTTAAATTACCAGCTTTTACATAATCACTAAAACAAATACCATGGGGAGACACGTGTGTGTGTGTGTGTTTGTTTGTCTCTGGGGTATAAGTCAACCACACTCACCAAAAAAAACACTTATCACTTATATTGATTGAACAAAACCATTTCAGGTGACCATATCCCTGACCTCGTTTTGACCATTGACCATTTTTTCCACAGCACATGGTGTGTTTTTTCAAAATATTCAATCTAAACCTACCCTCTTGGTTTTGTTCAGGCGTACCCGTGTTGTTTTGAATAACTGCTCGGTTGAGGTCATCCGATCATTCTGAAGGGAATCCTGATGTTGGCGACACTTCCCCCAATGTGGGTAGTCATAGGCCAAATTTTGATATTCTGTCCCAGTCGATCCCCCATTGATATACAATTAAATCACAGCCTAGACCCTCCCTTCGTACCCTTAAACATGGTGTGTCACCCCAGAATTTTCGTTACCATGATATTGTTTCAGGGTACTTCGAGGGTCCAGGTATGTTTTTCATGGTTAAATCCAACATTTCGGGGTACCGCATCTTAAAATGGGGGATTTCGGGGACCACCATGACAAAACGGACACCTCCATCTATAACCCATGATCATCCCAGTACCCGAAACATGTGCAGGCACATGATCCCATGACAGAACCTTCATGCCGCCACGGTACGAGGGGATGAGCGCAGTGTTCGACAACTTCTCAGAGAGTTGGAAGAAGTCAACCCCACTTCCCAGGCGAACAGCTATCCACAGGGCCAGCAACCTGACAATTTTCCAATGAGAAAACATGGACAAAACATGACAAAACCACATATTAAAAAAAGTTAAGAATACAAGCACCAGATGCGTTGGGAGAAAGGAAACATAAAGCAATTTTTGCTTAGGTTCGGGTTTAGGGTTTAATTTAGTGGACCTGTTGTTTTAAATCGTTGAAGTGAAGCTACTACGGTCCCTACATGCATTGAATCTGAAGCGGAAGGTCTAAGGATGTCAGGAATGGTACGAGTTAACGGCTGGAATGTCACTCAAGTGATGGCTGGTTGCATCTTTCAAGAATGGAACAGTCCTTCTGGTTGAGGTAGAGCACAATGTTTCCACATGTTTCCAATGCTTACGCGCCTACACATACAGTGTAGCGCAACAGGCTGGGATCTAGCTTCATGTTCAAGAAATCAAACCAGTTGTGTCTGCGTACGTTGCTATATATTAATTTCAGCCCCATCTGTCCCTGTGGCTCTCACAGGTTCTCACGTAACAAAGACGACTTAAATTCATGAGAAATGGTGGTCTAAAAATTACAGATAGACCCTCCAAGTAAGTACCTGTACCCTTAAATAAAAAAGTGCCGTTTTATCTCATAGTGAACACATATTTCTAGGCTGAACAGCACAAAGCGGCCTTGAAACCGAAAATTCCACTGGTGAGAGGGATATAGCATTGGAAATTCCATAGCGTTTCCTGATTGATCTGTTTGTTTTTGTTTCTTATCTTTTGCACCCCAAAACATAATTCGATACTTGGTAGCATATGTAGCTCTTCGATGCTCTTTGCATCCGAAGTGGAACTGAAAATAATATAGCACTCCAAGCTCCTACTGTGTTCATCATCAGTTTGCCAAATTGTCCTCATAACAACATGCTATTTTTGGAGATTTTGGGGCATAACTTTGATTATACGATGGTATACCTTTTTTTTTGGCGACCCCAGGGGCAAAAATCCGCCAAGAAACGTTAAGCCCTGGAGAAAGTAGAAGGCGCTGGCCGGTGGCCAATCAAAGAAGGACATCGCAGCACATGGTCAGTCCGCTGGATGCTACACGAGAAATCCGACAGGGTAGAGCACTAGCCACTGTGATCCATCTTCTAGAATACTTGACTGGTTGGTGGTTTCAACCCCTTCTGAAACATATTAGTCAGTTGGTGTTATTATTCCAAATATATGGAAAATACAATTCATGTTCCAAACCACCAACCAGTGATGTGATATATGAGCCATGGTTAGGATTGGTGGTCTATGATCATCCCATATTTGGGAATCCGAAAATCACACTTTTGACCATGGCACATGTGGCGTGTTTCAAATTCTGCTGCACCAAGTGGCGATGTTCAGGGAAAAAACATCATAAACAAATGATAAATCACGGAATTTGGAGTGTTCAAATCTTGTGCCATGCTTGATTTTTTGAGCACCCAAATGTCACAAGTCCACATGATAGCACCACTCTGTCGCCATGTCATGGCTAATAACAACACCCACGGTTACGCGGCGAATCTGCACCCACTCCGTGCCGGAATTCTCTCGCCGAACTGCGGCAGGTGAAAGCTCCGGTGCTTTAAACGGGCGAGAATTCGTGGTTGATTTTCATTGAAAGGTGATTTTCATCCAATTAACCCATAGGATCCATGTATGCTATATATGGTAGCATTTACCATATTTTACGATCAATATACCCCCAATGTTAGTATATATACCATACATGGATCCTATGGGCAATGCATTTAGGACAGATATCATCACTAAAATAATAACAGGTAAAAAAAAAGCGGCACATACATTTTTCAGTATATTCCTCGACCTTCCAAATACCATCTAAAAAAATAAAGGTGCTACAATTACAGTATGGGATAATAACAAACTTTTTTTGAGGATACAAACGGATAGGTATATCAAATATATATATATATACATAAATATATATACATATATATATATACATATATATATATATGTATATGTATATATATATATACATATAATATATATATAATATATACTTTCACGGGCCATGGTTTCCACAGCTGAAAAATTACGCAGACCCAGGTAACCTGAAGAACTCAACAAAGGGGCCCACATTCGTTGCATCATGGTCATGCTTGTTGCAACAATCTGCTGTCTTCTTGGTTTCGTTTTAAGTGATGTTACTTTCCCAACTGAAAAAATGTGAGACAGTGAGTGTTTGCTCCTGCTGAATCTTTTTTCGTTGCGGCGGGCGAACTCCCTTAGCTGTTTTAATCTGGATAAATTATTATGTATGTATGTATGTATGTATGTATGCATGCATGCATGCATGCATGCATGTATGTATGTATGTATATATATATACATATGTTATTTGGTTTCAGCCCATAGGTCGACTGGTTTTGTTTAGAATCTCCATATTTCTCTTAAGGTGAAATCGTCACGTTGCCAACGGTGCTTGGTTTACCATCCCATGGGAGAAATATGACACCTGGCAAACCCCGGATTCCAATCGAAAACGCTGCAAAAAATGTGGCGCATCTTCACCTGCTTCATTCGAGTAGATCTCGGCTTTCACCTGGACAAGTTCAGTTAAATATCCCTTCGGCGCCCAACTCGTTCTGCGAGAATTTGGGTACCAAAGAAAATGGTGTCAGATGGTGTCAGGATACTGGGAAATGACCCCCGACCCCCCATCTGGATGAATTTGCAACTCAAGGCTTTGTTATGCTTAGTTTGGATTTGGATCTAAGAATCTAGGC